TTTATTTTTTTTGCATTATAATGTTGCATTCTAAAGGTTTTTCTTCTCTTTTTTTTGCATTTTAATTTTGCATTTGCAAGTTACAAATGGCCATGTTCTCACGTTAAAAATAAAGTGTACACACCATATATGGCTTAGCCAATGCAACAGTATGCAATAACTTTCTAATTTCAAACTTCTAACTTTGCATTTTAAATATATTTTTTTTGCATTTTAATTTAGCATTTTGCATTCTAATTTTGCTTTTTTATTTTATTTTATTTTTATTTTGCATTTTAGTTTTAACTCACTGTAACGGTCACATAACGCAACCGACATGAATCTCATTAATTGTGCGGCTGAAGGTAATCAGTGCAGGTGAGAGGACAGATATGAAATCATTCTGTCAGTTTGTCTCCTGCTTTAGTTCTTAGTCAATCATTGTAGGCAAACACAATATTTTATTGCTTCCTGCAGTGATTACAGTCATTTGGAGTGATAGCGTGAGGTCAGCACAGGTTTGGAGGACAGCTGTTGGTGCAATAATGTTTCGGCTGATCGTTGTCTTATTTTTTCAGATAACTGAGGGTCAAAGGTTAAATGCGTTCTCATTTATCACTGAAGCCTTAGAAATGGACCTGAGGACAATGACTGACTGACTGCACAGAAACCATTTCAGGATGAAAAACTAACCATTTGCTTTTCCTTTAATGTAAAATGAAAATTAGACTGTTTCATTTAATTTTCATATGCATATTTACACTTGATTATTTTGATGTGCAGCAAATGTTTATATAGAAGAAATGTTGTAAGCTGAATGTCACATTTTGTTTTCAACAAGTCAAACTCTCAAACAGAAAAATCTGTTGTTTTTTTCTGTAGTTTCTTAACTGTTTGCTGTCAAATGAAGCATCAGACACACACTGCCAGAGTAACTGTAGGTTGCTTAAAATGTGATTATATTAGAACAGTTAGCATTTTAATTTTGCTTTTGCATTTTAATGTCATTTTTAAACGTTTACTTTAGTTGCAACTGAATTTCACATTTTGCATTTTAATTTCATTTTCAAATTTGTACTTTAGTCGAACTCTCAAACGGAAAAATCTGTCATTTTTTCTGTAGTTTATTAACGGTTTGACATGGGTAAATCTTTGTTTTTGTACTCCAAACTGTTTGCTTTCATCAAAGTTTATTTGAACTCTCAAATGAAGCATCAGACACACTGCCAGAGTAACTTTAGGTTGATAAAATGTGATTAACCTTTTGTTTTCTTTCTCAAAGCACAAACTGCCATGTTTATCTGTTTATATTATATCCTTATTTACATTTATTCTTATGCAACAATTTTTTTTATGATTCATAGTTCAATTATGTGAGATTGAATCATTATAATGACATCTTTTCTCAGTGTTTATCTGTGTTAATAGTTCCCATGAGTCGCATCATAATGAGTTCTGCACCTTTGATAGCTACACATCTGTATATTTTAGTTTTACTACAGAACTTGCTACTGAAAGCTACTAATAAACCATGGAAATGTCTTGTTTTTATCAGTTTATTGGGAGCGATTGTGAGGTCAATCCATGTCAAACATTTGAGTTTGAGCACATTATCTATTATGAACCGGATCTCTTAGAATAAATACGTCAACATGTCAAAAAGTTTTTCTATGCATGAAAACGCCATCAAAATATGAAATGTAAATAAATACTGTCGGTTTTCCACCTGTAGTGGGTTTCACTTTTCTGCGGGCAATAAAATGCTTGTTATTTACAATCATAAATATGTCATATACAACATCAGAGACACACAAGGCCAGTTATTTTTCAGGGAACATGAATCTGCAGGCATCATTTACTCACTATCATGTCATTCCAAACCTGTATTTTACACAAAAGTAGACGTTCACGCTGCTCTTTTCCATATAATGTAAGTGAATGGTGATTTAAACAGGCTTTAACGCTCCAAAAAGCACTAAAAACTGATTTTTTAGGACAAAATGTAAGATTTATGTTTTTGAAATGCATATATATATATATATATATATATATAGGATTTGTTTGTCGTCTGATGTGCCTTTTTGGTAACCGTGCATCTTTTTTGTTACTTGAACTTCTCTGTTGCCCAAGTTGGAAAGCAGCTTGTTCAGTGTTTTAAATGCAAACGCTGCATGTTCCACTTCCACTTCATACTTGATCTGCGTGTCAGTCGTGCTTCTTTCTTTAAAGTAACTGAAAATGAACACAGACACACGTAACTCTTTTTGTGCAGCTAAAATAACTGGAACCGAATGACACCGGTTAGGGGCGCCGCTATGGTTTCTGGGCCCCCTGAACAGCATATTGACTCGGGCCCCCTCCACGATCGCATTCCGGTGGGGGAGCGGCGTTGGGTGGGTGTTCGCGTTCCGGGCCCCCTCTCCCTCGTCGGGCCCTTGGAATTGGCCTAACCTTCCCCCCCCATTTACAGCGCCCCTGACACCAGTACCCTTACACATTCAAGCTATAAATGGCCACATTCTTATGTTAAAAATAAAGTGTATACTACATAGCCCCGCACATGACATGCAAGAAAAAATGTATAAATCGTGTGCACGATTTACTAATTCGTTCCCTTGATGTACTAAAACGTGCACATGATTACTATTTTGTTCCCTCAATTTGCTAATTCGTTCCCTCGATTTGCTAAATAATGCGCACAATTTACTAATTCGTTCTCTCGATTTATAAATCACGTGCACGATGTAGCAAATCGAGGGAACAAATTAGTAAATCGTGCGCACAATTTATAAATCTAGGGAACGAAATAGTAAATTGTGCACACGATTTAGCCTACTATTTTTTTCCTGCATGCCATGTGCGGGGCTCCGTAGTATACAACATATACAGCCTACTATTTCTTGTTAAATTGTCAGTGCAACAATATGCTATAACGGCATATTCGGCAATTAAATTTTTATTTTTTTTGCATTATAATGTTGCATTCTAAAGGTTTTTCTTCTCTTTTTTTTGCATTTTAATTTTGCATTTGCAAGTTACAAATGGCCATGTTCTCACGTTAAAAATAAAGTGTACACACCATATATGGCTTAGCCAATGCAACAGTATGCAATAACTTTCTAATTTCAAACTTCTAACTTTGCATTTTAAATATATTTTTTTTGCATTTTAATTTAGCATTTTGCATTCTAATTTTGCTTTTTTATTTTATTTTATTTTTATTTTGCATTTTAGTTTTAACTCACTGTAACGGTCACATAACGCAACCGACATGAATCTCATTAATTGTGCGGCTGAAGGTAATCAGTGCAGGTGAGAGGACAGATATGAAATCATTCTGTCAGTTTGTCTCCTGCTTTAGTTCTTAGTCAATCATTGTAGGCAAACACAATATTTTATTGCTTCCTGCAGTGATTACAGTCATTTGGAGTGATAGCGTGAGGTCAGCACAGGTTTGGAGGACAGCTGTTGGTGCAATAATGTTTCGGCTGATCGTTGTCTTATTTTTTCAGATAACTGAGGGTCAAAGGTTAAATGCGTTCTCATTTATCACTGAAGCCTTAGAAATGGACCTGAGGACAATGACTGACTGACTGCACAGAAACCATTTCAGGATGAAAAACTAACCATTTGCTTTTCCTTTAATGTAAAATGAAAATTAGACTGTTTCATTTAATTTTCATATGCATATTTACACTTGATTATTTTGATGTGCAGCAAATGTTTATATAGAAGAAATGTTGTAAGCTGAATGTCACATTTTGTTTTCAACAAGTCAAACTCTCAAACAGAAAAATCTGTTGTTTTTTTCTGTAGTTTCTTAACTGTTTGCTGTCAAATGAAGCATCAGACACACACTGCCAGAGTAACTGTAGGTTGCTTAAAATGTGATTATATTAGAACAGTTAGCATTTTAATTTTGCTTTTGCATTTTAATGTCATTTTTAAACGTTTACTTTAGTTGCAACTGAATTTCACATTTTGCATTTTAATTTCATTTTCAAATTTGTACTTTAGTCGAACTCTCAAACGGAAAAATCTGTCATTTTTTCTGTAGTTTATTAACGGTTTGACATGGGTAAATCTTTGTTTTTGTACTCCAAACTGTTTGCTTTCATCAAAGTTTATTTGAACTCTCAAATGAAGCATCAGACACACTGCCAGAGTAACTTTAGGTTGATAAAATGTGATTAACCTTTTGTTTTCTTTCTCAAAGCACAAACTGCCATGTTTATCTGTTTATATTATATCCTTATTTACATTTATTCTTATGCAACAATTTTTTTTATGATTCATAGTTCAATTATGTGAGATTGAATCATTATAATGACATCTTTTCTCAGTGTTTATCTGTGTTAATAGTTCCCATGAGTCGCATCATAATGAGTTCTGCACCTTTGATAGCTACACATCTGTATATTTTAGTTTTACTACAGAACTTGCTACTGAAAGCTACTAATAAACCATGGAAATGTCTTGTTTTTATCAGTTTATTGGGAGCGATTGTGAGGTCAATCCATGTCAAACATTTGAGTTTGAGCACATTATCTATTATGAACCGGATCTCTTAGAATAAATACGTCAACATGTCAAAAAGTTTTTCTATGCATGAAAACGCCATCAAAATATGAAATGTAAATAAATACTGTCGGTTTTCCACCTGTAGTGGGTTTCACTTTTCTGCGGGCAATAAAATGCTTGTTATTTACAATCATAAATATGTCATATACAACATCAGAGACACACAAGGCCAGTTATTTTTCAGGGAACATGAATCTGCAGGCATCATTTACTCACTATCATGTCATTCCAAACCTGTATTTTACACAAAAGTAGACGTTCACGCTGCTCTTTTCCATATAATGTAAGTGAATGGTGATTTAAACAGGCTTTAACGCTCCAAAAAGCACTAAAAACTGATTTTTTAGGACAAAATGTAAGATTTATGTTTTTGAAATGCATATATATATATATATATATATATATATAAACAAAATAAAAAATTGAAATCACACTCTGTCTTTCCAGGCACATTTTGTCTTTTTTATTTAAAAAATGTTGAGTAAACCTGAGTCAGATGAGCATCACCTCCTCGAACACGACTCCGTCCGAGTGTTTGTCCAGTCCTCCGTCAGCCGTTTCCTCCTCCACTTCCTGCGGGTCCGAGTTGATCTGTGCGACTCCCAGCCTGTAGAGGGCGTCTCTGATCATCACCACCTCCCCCGGCTGACAGGCGCTCAGCACCTCCGCGATCTGCTGGTTCACGATGTCTCTGCTGCTCAGGAAGTCCAGCAGGCGGTTATAGAGGTAGTAATACGCTGCGTTATCGAACACGAGAGCTTTCCGCCGAAATGCCGTTGCGCTGCTGTCGTCGAAGCTGGTTTCACCCTCGGGTTTGTCACAGATCTCTGTGACGGCGCCGGCGTACGGCTCCAGCTCTTTGCAGAGGGTGATGGCGTGGTGGGCATCGTGGAGAGCGCTCGGTCTGTCGGGTCGCACTATCCAGCGAGAGGCGGATTTGGTGAGCGGGTGCAGATGAGGGTTGGACTCAGTCGCTGTCAGATCCAAACTGTACGGCTGGTCCTGAAGCTCCGAGCAGGAGACGTACTGAAAGAGGGGAGGAGACAGATGTGATTGACAGTTCAGCGGCCAATCAAGCGTTTTAAAATCTGTGTACATGTTCACTGCAAGGACAATTTACCATGAGGTGTACAACTCAACAAAAACCTTTATTTTTGAAGGAATATTTTCATTTTGATTTTATTTGTACAGCGCTTTTCACGTTATTTGACGTCTCAAAGTAGCTTTTCAGAAATAAATGGACTAAGTTATGATATTTTAATTTCCTTCATGGAGTTGTCACTATAAATGTGTTGTACAGAAAGAGATTCTTAAAAATGTAGCTAAAAACCTCTCCAAAATTTCATTTTATTTGTATATGTGGTAATATTATATAATGTTAATGTCTGTGTGTGCAGGGTTATTACAGTTAACTGAAACTAAAGCCATAAAAAAATCATCACTTGAAATGAATTCAACTTTAAATTAAATTAAAAAACCTTACATTTATTTTATTTTATTTCATTTTATGTGATGTACTAAAATAACTAAAACTGAAATAAAAATTAATAAAAACATTTTTTTAAAAATACTAAAAATGGCACACACAAAAACCCCACAACAAAATTACTAAAAGGCCAACTAAATTTTAATTGAAAAAAAAACTTAAATTCTTGAAAATATTGGTTTCTTTTTTTTTTGTTTAAAGGAAGATATAACAGCAGACAGGTTTAAAAGATGTTTTTAATGATATATTATTATGACGAATATTATCGATATAATTTAATAATATAACTAATATTTTTAAATATATTATTATTAATTATAATAATAATTGTTATTATTTTATCATTTATTAAAAACATTTATCTGACTTTAATAATTAATTAAAAGTTATATATATATATATATATATATATATCTCTCTCTCGTATATGTTATTTTAGTATAATTGAGATACTATTATAGTTTTTATTATAATTATTTTTTATATTTTCTGTTTTAATTTTAAATTGTGTTTTTGTCATTTTTATGTTTTTGCTTTTAAATGTTTCTATATAATTTTCATACATTTTTATTTACTTATTATTTTATTTAGTTTTGGTTCTTTTAGTACATCAAGTTAAACTAAATGAAAATGAGAAATGTTGTCTTGGCAACTAGCTGAAGTAGAATAATTTTTATATGAAGTAGAATATTTTTTATTTTATTTCAGTTACTGTTTATTTTATTTCAAGCAAAGTTTTTAGTTTTAGTTTCAGTTAATTATAATAACCCTTACTGTTTATAAATATTGTTTATAAAGATGTTTTTGTTTCTGCAGCAGTAGTGAAAGAGCTTGATAAGTTATGATTGTTTTGGAGCAATTCATAAGTGGACTTTTGTGAAAATATGTAAATGCAACAAGCATTCTAATTAATAAAAAAAGTATCTATTATCTATTCCTGTCAATCTCTCACCTGTGGTGGTGCTGTAGGGTCAGAGAAACATCCCTGATTTTCCCCCCACATCTGTGAGGCCAGTTGAGGATATAATACATCAGTGCAGAGCGCCACCTTCTGGGCACAATCCGCCACGTACACCGGCGGCCAAAACCTGGACGAAACCAGCAGGTCCAGATGATCTCGAGCGCTTTCTCTGCGGACGATATACTTGGATCCACACACGACCTGCAGAGATCAGACTCCCACATCAGCTCATCTGATCAAGTCAAATAATCATCAAAGAGCTGTGCTTTAGTGAGTCTGGTACCTGATGAGGACACACTTTACTGACTCTGCCTGCCGTCATGAGCGCGTCGGGCTGCTGTGCCGTCCACAGGCCGCTCTGTGAGTGAGAATGCAGCAAAGACACAGACGCCAGCAGCTCGTCCTGTCAAACGAGACCAGCAGGCCATTCTGTCATGATTACTACAGGAATATTTAGAGGAATTTGACTGAAGGGAGGAGAAAGTGTGATAGAGTTGCTTTGTGTTACTGAATAATAAATATTAGTGATATTATCGCTTTAACTGCACTGACACTATCGGATGAGAACAAACTTTGAACTGAATTAATTTGAATAACGACACTATTGTGCTCTGTAGATTTCATTACTTGAAATAAAATAAACTTTGAATTAAAACAAAATCTCAAAAATGTAACTTATTTTATTTCAGATAGTTGCCAAGGCAACCTTTTTCATTTTCATTTAGCTTAACTTGATGTACTAAAATAAATAATAAAAAAATACTAAAAATGGCAAAACACCACAAAATTACTATAACTTTAAAATTGAAATGAAAAGGGAATATATATATATATATAAAAATTTGTATACAATATTTCTAATTTTTTCTGTTAGTATTAGGTTATAGAATGTACCCATATAGATAGCTGAGTTAAGGTGTGTGTGTGTGTGTGTGTGGGGCAGTGTACTTTATCAGTGTCTGCAGCAGCAGGA